GGTTGAGGCCACTTTGTGCTGGGAAATAGAAACAAGGGCCTTGAGCTTCATATTGCGTGTGAGTCAGTACAGGGAGAGAGCCCATGGCAGGGGCTGTGACTGGCAGTGTGCCTGTCTAGGCTTAGTCTGTATTAGCTGGAGTTTCCCAACCACTGGTGGGAAAAATGGTGATAATGCAGTCAGGGGGAAATGGTGTGCAGCTCCCCAGGAGGGGACAAGGCTTCAAGGATGTCAGTCCTGCAGCAGCAGCCACCCGTCTGTGGGGGAATATCAGTGTTAAAAGCAGGAATGTTTAACTGCAGCATGGCTCTTTGTCCAGCCCAGCATCTGGCTGAGCAGGTCTGCTCTGGGGGAGTCATGTCCACCAGTTTCTCAGCTCTGACAGAGCTCAGTAGTCAGTCTTCTTCTGGCTCCCACCCCCTCCATCACTTCACTCCTGGCTGAGCCTCCAGGCAGCTCAGTGAGCCCAGGGAATGCTTTCAAAGAGTGAAAACTAAACATTGATGTTGCTTTTCCGCTGACAGTTTGCATATCTAATATTTCTTAAGTTTGATGTGATTGTGTTATGCTTTGGAGCCTCCTCACAGAGCAGCAGTTCTGGCCTGTGCATAGTCCTGTATTTCAGAGATGGGTTTGATTGGCCTTTTAAATTTTCTTAATTTTAAAAAAATTGTCACATCTGCAAAAGTAAAAAGGTCTAAGGATCTTAAAGCAGCTCCATTACTTAGTGAAAGTAATCACTTGCTGAATACAGATCTCAATTTACCTGAGGCTGGATGTTGTAGTAGGTCATGGGCACAGCTGGAGAAGCACAGGATTGTATTTGAGGGGCTAGAATAGTTTACTGGCCTGAGTGTTGGCACAAAACTATGGAAGATACTTTAACACAGGTATAGAAAGCTAAAAAAAGAGGCTTCATTATCCAGTGAAAGTCAGTTGCAAAGAAAATCCAAGTATTTTGTGTTGACTCTGACAAATGAAGTAAGTGTCTGTAAGATTTCAGGAAGCACCTCCTGACGTAGAGAAACTAGACTCAGCTCAGTAAGTGAATTGTAGGGGGAAACTTCTCACAAAGTTGATGGGAAAATGTTGTTATTAAACACTTCTTCATAGTCCAGCTTGTATTAAGAATAGAGATTTAGGTCATATATATTAAATTGGCTCTTCCTTTTAGAGAAGAGTACTTGCAGAAGCTTCATATTGCCTTTAGACCAAGTAAAACCTCTCAACTTTTTAGAGGAAAAAAGAATTAAAGTGGTAAATCAGTCACTAAAGAATCTCCTGTGTTTTGAGTACTGTGTATGTGATGTCTTTTATGTGATTGTCTTCTCGTCGTCACTGATAATGTGTCCCCACTTCCCAACACAGCTGGTGTACTTCTTTTCCTGAAGGAAATGCTAGAACTTTACTATTTGGGTGCTTCAGGTGAGAAGTGTTCTGAAAACAAATTGTAAAGATTATAATGGGCTTATCCCTTCTCATGGTGCTTCTTGATTAAGACAAACATGTTGTGATGCTAAAAAAAAGACAAAGGCTTTATAATACTTGTTCAAGTTTTAATGTTATATCAAAAGCATCTTCCTAGCTTTCACATTTTCTAAATAGACAGAAATTTAAAATCATAGTATTGTCCTCTGCCAAAAGCACTTAAAAATGCTACTCAAATCTGTGGCAATATTATATAACATAAATAATGTCCTTAGTGTTTAAAGATATTTATCAATAAAGACAGAACAGTCTTTGTTGCACAGATAGAGCAAAAAATGGCTTCAACCAGTCCTGCTTCTTTAAAATGCAGACAAATAATATCCTTTAAGAATGAAGTTTTTATTTCACAGAGAGAACTTGCACACTTTCTGTTAAGACTAATAAGAGAAGTGTTTCATTCCAACAATTTGATGCTAGCACTGTCATAGACTTTCATTATTCTGGACTCATGGACCGCTTTTGCAGGAAACAGCTTTAAAATATAGGTCAGCATTAAAGGATTTTGAAATGAGGTGAAAATGCTCTTATTTCTCGTTTGAGTGAGTCCTTTATTTTAGTATCTATAAGTGAAGTTCTCTGTTCTCCAAATCCTTTCTCTGTAGGAGGAATCAGCAGGGACATTGTGACTTATTTGAAAGTTAAGAGGCTGAAAAGCTTTAGGGGAAGCATTGTAATCTGTTATAAAACACATTCAGGACCTAGGCCTAGATTTGGAGCATTGGTAACTCTCCAGCTCATAGGAGAGAAGAATGAGGTGATTAGATTACTCACAAAGTGTTAATCCTGCAGCAAGGAGGAAACCTAAAAAAAAAAAGAAATAAAAAAAAATCCTTGTGTTTACACCAGATTAACTAGTACAAAGAGGCAAGCATCTCCTTTCGTGGTTGCTTTGAGGTGTATAATCTCTATTCTTCTGACTCTTCCAAAATTCATATTCGGAAACTATTATCATTACAAATAAAAACCTGTTTCAATTGCAAAGCATTCTCACCTCATCAAGAACAGTGCTGTTAGCTTTCTGCTTTTACACAAGAAGTGTTGACCAGAAATACATGGTGACACAGGGAAAAAGATGAGGAAGCAAGCTTGCAGTTAATCGTACGTATATTTTGTTTTCCCAAGCTGCCAGCTCAGCATTCATAACTGGCTATCCTAACTCACACAGAGCATTCAAAGATAGGTGGCTCTCTCTTTTTTTTTAATCTTGTCACTCTGTCTGAATATTAAGAACTGGGTCTGCTTGGCTTCCAAGATGACAAGTTTAGCATTTTGAGCTAGTGCAGCTGGGGTTACTTGGTAAACATGCTGAGGGAGTTAGTAAGGATCTTCAAAGCCCTAAAACAATGTATTTGAGGACTCCAAGTGCTGTGAGTCACCTAGTGGTGATGGTGCTGCGATACTTTTTCCTGGGCAGCATGGAGAGCACTGCATTTACTGGACAAAAGAGCATCCTTTCTGGTCAATACCTCCTGCTAGGACACTGCCAACCCAGTCATGCTGGTTTATCCTTCATGATGATTGTGACTGTTCTATTCACTGAAATCTTACCCTGTCAGGTTCTGCAGAAACTCAGTGGACAAAAGGGAATGAAATTCAACAAGCAGAAGACAGTATTTGATGCAGTTTACACAAGAGCAATTGTTCCCTGCCCACAAATAAGGCAGGTTCTCAAAATGCCAAAGAATTTCAGGTTTGGGAGAGAAATTTCCCTCCGTTCAGATTCATCACCATGCCAGCAGTGAAGCTTTGATCAGTGGGTCAGGTCTTGGACAGGCATCATAGCAGATCTCTTGGTGGCAACATTATGGGAATTCAGAAACCCTGTACTTCACAGACTAACCAAGGAATCCTTCCCATTGTTTGTGCTCTGGATACTTGTGTTTCATCAGAGTAATTTCTCACATATAAGGATATTTTCCTGGAGAAAAAAAAAAAAAAAAAAAAGATTTTTGGTCTTGTCATATGTTAGTAATATTTGTAGAATGGTGAATATTGGAACTAATCAGCCTCCTGGGAACCATAGTTAGGCTTGGGATATTACGGTGCAAATAGATATTAAAGGGCTGATATTCTTACATTTTTTGTAAACATCTCTCCTGCATCTAATTGCTGAGACAGAACGCAATAAAAATAGACTTCTGTTCCCTTATGAGCTTTTTCTTCAGTTATCTTCTTTAGAGCAGCTAATGAAACTTTAAGGGTTCACAGTTTGAATACTATAGGCTTCGGTGATTTTTATTTTTAATTTCCCACTGCTGGCATTTGCTACTAAGCACTTTCTGGTGATGACAGGCAAGTGGACTATATCATGATATTTTGCACATAGTTGAGCCCCCAGGCTCAGCATGTTTGTTTGTTTGTTACTAAGAATCTTGTCCTGAGGTTTGGTGGTTCTGATTAAGAACTACATTTCTAGTCTGTCAGTAGGTGACAAAACAAAAATTGTGCATTGTCACTTGCCTTGCACTTTACAAAGAAAAGTTCATAGTCCCTGAAGGAAAATGTAAAGGTGACGGAGAGACTGTCATTTTATTTTGTTTTTCAGCATGGCTCTGGGTTTTAAAAATGGAGTTAAATCATTTAAATATGTTGAAGTCTGGAAATGCTGAGAGTCTGGCCCTCCTGATGGTGACACAATTTCTTTAGGGGTTCATATATTGACACTGAGTGCTAGCATTAGCCTTTTGTTCTCCTAAATCTGTTGTTAAGAATAAATCAGCTTTAATTTATAGGTGGAACCCAAGGATCCCCCTGCCCAGTGACACCTTGGGTAGGAAACGTACAGGACTGCAGTGGGATCCCTGCTGTCACCTGAGGCTGTTTGTGCCTGGGAATGTGGCACAGGTTCTCTGCATGCCCTGCTGGAGGAACAGGTGGAGCAAGTTGCCACATGCCATACTGGAAAGAATACAGAGCTCACCAGCGTCTCATGGCTTTGTACAGTGTCTGAGCTCTGGGGACAAGTCTGTTATGGTGAATTACTGTTGTCAGTGATGCTTCCTGTGGAAAGTGAGAAAGCAAACTGTGGCTCATTCTGCTTTGAGGTCCTCTATTAGGCTTTGTCTACTCTATTGATTTCCCCAGATAAAAGAAGTGGTGCATTTTTATATAAATGAAGGTGTTTTATGGCACATTGATGGGCTTCTTGTCTTACATTATCAGTAAATCTGGGTAAATGAAGGCTATTTTTAAGCCCTCTGCTGTTCCAAGGTTGTTTGTGGTTTTTAAGAGATTGTATCGTGACATTATAATTTAAAAGGGGTGACCACCTGATAGTCTGATAGTACCAAAACCAAATAAACTCTTGAGTAATGTGAAGAAGATATTTTCTTATGGCTTAACATATTGGGTTTTTTCCTTCCCATAGTATACCAGGTGCTTCCAAAGTACAAACAATAAAGAAAATATCCAGAAAGTATTAGGTTTGTGATCTGAAGCATAAAAGATTTTTTTCCCACATTTATTTGTTGTAGAATCATTCCAAATATGTGGGGGTTTCTTTTCTGTTTTAGGCTCCTAAGGACCCAGTCTCTGGATTGGTACTATAATAATGTCAAAAGCCGCTTTAAGTGTTTTGGAAGTGCCAAGGTCCTGAAGAACTTGTACAAGAAGCATAGACTGGAGAGTGGACTTTGTCCTGATGCAATAGGTAAGAACAGCTGTGTTGATTTCTCATAAGATTTATTCTTCTCTACTTTAACACAGAAGCTGAGACAATGAAAATTCTGAGGTTATTTCAAGAGAGTTTTTTAAACACAATTTCCTTATTTGCGAAAGAAATACCTCCATGGAGAGATAAAAGGATAAAGCATCTAAAGAGCTATTTAAGAATTCAAACAATGTTTAATCTTAATTATGTCACTGATACAGAAGAATTGTCTATAAAGTAAATTTCAATTTATATTCTAGCTTGTATCCCCAGACTTATTACAGTTCTGAGTAGTCAAAGAATGAGAAAATAATTTTGCATTCAACATTTGACCATAAGCACATTTCTGTGATGTTTGAAGCAAAATTTGATTAACATGAGATATATTCAGTATCCAAGTTGACCAAAACTGACATTTCCTTACTTAGTTTTGCATGCTTCAGGATCTAAAACTGGCCACGTTTTATTTTTGTATCAATGTTTGTAAATAGATAGAAGATACTGGTAAAGTATTGGCATCAACCTTTTAAGTGAAGACACAACTCACCCCTAACTATGCTGTTCTAATGCCCTACTCCATAAGAAGAGTGATTGGAGTCAGAAAATGGGTTTGAAGAAGTGGAGCGTGGTGTCATACTGGTAACTTCAGCAAGTTACTTAGAACACAACTAGCTGAATATTTGACATTTCACTGGATTTATTGAAGCAGATAACTTACTCCTGTAATTCTTTCAAAATTTGTAAAGCGAGTGTAACTTTTCTGTAGTCCTTCCTTTGTATTTTTATGAAAATACATAGAATGGTAAGTAGACTCTCTAGTCCTGAGTGAAAATTTTAGGTGTTTATTATGAAAATTGACATAAAGCTTCTAGGGAAAAGTGACCTATTTACTAAACTGTGGTTTAATAGTGTTTTTCCTTTTTGGGTATAAAATTCATAATTCATGAGAAGATTCCTTAACAACTGAGAACAAATGTATGAGGATAAGCAAATCTTGTTTCAGTCAGGGCACAAGTTGCACAGTGGAAGTAAAAAAGTGTGGCCAGGGATACTTCCGAACTTTTATATGATGTGTTGCCTTTATTTAACCATAGTCTCAGTGAATGGGTGCTTGAATGGAAGTGTGAAGGATGCAATGATGAGCTGCAGTGGCATGTGCACTCTTGGTGAGACTTTCCATGGAAGGCCTTTGAGTCTAAATGTTATTGCTAACATTCTTCTGCTATCCCTGTGACTGTTAGGTAAACCTTTTGTTCGCTTTGACAATAAATACTAGTATAGGTTTCTAGGATCAAATTCCCTGTACTTAACTTCTGCCATGCACATTTCATGCCTAGTAGCTTCTTCATCTCTTTTTTACTGTAGTAATAATTTTGTCTATTCAAAATGAATGAGAAGTCTTTGATATAAAAGCAGTATATTTTGTAGAAAAGCTGCTGCGGTCATGATTTACCCAACAGCAACAGCTAGGGGAAATTTTCCAGTTATCCCCATTGTGCCCAGTGCCACCATATCTTGAGTGAATATTCTAATGTAATAATACCTTGGTTGTTAATGGGTACTTCTTACAGTAACACATGGTTCTGTCTTTCTTTTTAGCAGAGGGAAGTTTGTATGAAGGAAGCTTTGAGAATGAAGGAAGCATTTGTGGCAGTGACTCTACCTTCTACCAACAGACGGAAGGTATGCTGCTAAAATCTCATCTGATTACAAAGCAGTCCTTACACTTTGAGTTAGTGGACAAGTAGCTTTGAGTGCTGGAAAGTCTTGGCCACAGATCGAACAATACTTTGGCTGAACCATTCAGCAAGACACTAAAAGTCTTTTGTGTATCATGCTAGGACATCTTGCTTCAGCATTACACTTGCTACATGCCTATTCTAGTATGATTTTCGTCATGTTCAGGTTTTGTTACTTCCCTCCCATTTCCTTTCCTATGCTCATATATTTTTATTTAATTCTCTTTCCTAAATTGTGTTGTTCTTGCTTATAGGAACTGCACAAATTTTCTTTCAGTTATTTCCTCCAAACTATTTTTCTACAGTCTAAAATAAGCAACATAAAAATACCATGTTTTATTGTATCTAAGATTCATATTTAAGCAGAAACTTAGAGATTGCAACAAAGTTCTCTGTCTTAAATTTTTTATTTTACTGTGCATATTTATGGATTGAGAAAATAGCTTTTTCATGAACAATTTAAGATTTGAATATGTGTCCAGAATATGAGTCTGAATTTTGGAGCTCATTATGCAATATGTTCCTATATAAAGAACATGGGGGTTTTATCTTATTCTTCATCTAGGACACAGCATGATGGATACCCTTGCTGTGGCCTTACGTGTTGCAGAGGAAGCAGTGGAAGAAGCTATTTCCAAGGCAGAGACCTACAGTGACAGCCTGGTAACACTTTCAAAAAAAAAAAGTATTCATTTAAATAGGATAATCATGTTTCTTTTTATTTGGGTAGGGGTACAAACCAAGTAGATATAAACAGAAACATGATGAGGTAGTGGCTATCTCATAATATACCTAAAGAGTTGGGCATGAGTTTTATGAACTGGTATCCAAGATGCACATTGCATTCCAGAAGGTGCGTGCACTATAAGTGCCTGTCATTTCTTTCCATAGTGCCGGTAGGGCATATTACCCATTTCCCAATCTGTACACTTTCTGTGGGAAGGCTATTTTTATGTGATTTTAGCAAATGCGGATATCCATTTTTATGCAGGACAAGCAGAATGAAGCTTGTTACTTGCAGGAGCACAAGGAGGACCTCATAGAAGAGCTGGCCACAACCATTGTGCAGAAGGTATGGCATGCTTTTCCCCCTTACGTTTAATAGCCAAAATACAGTGTGTTAGAGCTCAAACACTACTAACAACAAAAGAATGCCAGTAATGTAGAAAATAAAGTAAATGAACTATGACAGCGTAGACTTCATCAGCTATGTCTGACAGAAATCAGTTTATATGTCAGATCAATCCACTGCCTATACCTGATGTCCTACATGTTCAGAGCTGAGACGTACCACTCCCTGAGGTTTGTGATGTCCTTTCTTGGAAGGGAAGGTCCTTGCTTGATGGAATTTTACATCTGTATGTCACTTCCCCACAAGCACAGGGTTTTCTAATGTCAAGAGGTATGGCTCTCGACCATATACATCACTTCCCAAAAGATAATTTGCCAGTGTAAAGAAGTATGACTTCTGACCATACCCTCTAGTGAACCCTGCGTCTGCAACACATTCTAAGAAAACAACATCCATCATTAACACAGAATTCTCTTAATGATACTGTGAGACACTCAAAAATCACAGAATCCCTGGCAGTTTTGAATTCTGTGGCTTTTTAAGTAAAGCTCATTCTTCTCCCTGCAAAACTCATGATTGGCAGAATGAAAGTGGAGGGCTTGTACCCCTTGAGAAAAAGTACCCCTTGAGTTTGCCTGGACAGTTTGGAGTAAGGCAAAATGAGCGTGAACAGAGCACTATTAAGGTCCTGTGGTCAGTAAAGTAACCACTATGCGAAGTTAGTCTCCTTCTATGTGAAATAAGCTAGGTGCCACATCTTTGTATGGGCTGTGGCATTTAACAGTGTATGGATCACACACCAGAAGAGGAACACGTTGTTTATAAGGCTATCAAGAAAAGCCAGAAGAGCAGCAGCTCACTGAAAAATAATGCCTTTTTTTTTTCAATGGTGATGTTAGACTATCAAGTAAGTCTTTATTGGGTCTTTCATAGTCCATAGCCTCTCTCAGCCAATCTTGAATTGCTACTGTTTTTTCAAGAGCTGAGAGCTGCCTAACAAGATCTTTTATGCCACAGAATATTCTATAGATATCTTATATTTAACTTGTGGAAACAAAGTGTAGCAGGGAGTACAGGGTAAGGAGACATAAGCTCTCTCTCTCTTAAGATGGTGTAGATTTTCAAAAATAAAAAGTGTCTAGAGACCTTAGACCTATTTGTTCTCACTAGAATGTGTCTGCATGTCATGGGAGCGCCTTTGAAATTCCCCTCATATCTAGTATTTTATATTTCTTGGCAAAAAGTCTTGTCTGAGAAAACACTTAGATGCTGCTAAAGTGTTACTGTAGCAACAGGTTTCTATGTTTATGTAATGCACCTCTGGTATTCCTGCAGGCACTGTTACATATTGCATCGCTGCTTGTGTGCTTGCAAGCGGTAGGACTTCAGAGGAGAAGTAATTGCATGAGCTGGAGCCAGAGCAAAGGGAAAGTCAAATGTTTGTCCTGGGAAGATTGCCTTAAGACAGGGTTCATTTAGATCTTCCCCTTATGGCTCAGACAGTATTTCCCCAGCAGCATTTTTCTGTCCTCTCCCACCCTGTTTCTCCCCTACCCTGCAGATTATAAAGAAGCAGAAAAGCAAACCCGAGCAGGGGGAGGCCGACTTGGAATGGCCGCCGTCGCGGAGCAGCGGCCTGGCATCCGGCGCTGTCTCGGACCAGAGCATGCTGACATTCCCAGGGAGCCGCAGGGGATCCTACACCTTGTGGGTGAGTGGCACAGCACAGCTGTCCTTCCTTTCTGGTGCACAAAGCCAGAAGATTGCAGTCATGGATAAGTATACTTGCTGCCTGGAACAGTGAGTGGAGACGTGCAGAGAACAAGCATTAATTCTGTGTCTGGACAAATTGTCACTCAGTTGCATGCTTTCCTAACATCCCATGGGCCACGGAGGTACATCACAGACATTGTGTTGTCTTGGTGACTGTGCTGGGGAGGACTAAGTTCGTGATATGAACAGTCTCACTGCTTGATTTGAATGCTAACAGGACTCGATACCTCAGTGTTTATTCCTCAGAACAGTTTTTCAGCTCACTTAACTTTTATGTAGGTCTTTGCTGCATGTGTTACCTTTTCTTTTGTATAAAGTTAGGTTTCGGTAATGTTTCTTTTTCTCCTTAGCCATCTTACAGAAAAGAGCTACCACCAGCAACAAAAAAGGAAACTCAGCTGCAAAGCACCATTTATGTCTTACACTAAAGAATGTTTCCTCCTTCCACTTATTTCTCAGCACAATGTCCTTATCTCCTGCTATAAAGCTGAAGAAAATCTGACAAGCTGCATTACTAACAGTTTTAAAAGAACAGCAAATAAAAAATACTGAAAATAAGCTGTAGGCTTGGACAAGCACTTTGGCAATCAGAGAGGGAAGACAGTGACAGATGAGTTGGTTCCAGTGCATTTTGACACTGTGGTTTAAGCTGCTGCTCCCAAGTGTCCTGCTACTGTTCCAGTAGCCACCTCTCCCCCACTAAGCAGAACCACCAGAACTGAACGTGGGCTATGTCCTAGTTCCCAGCTAAGTTTGCTCGCTTATACTCCCAGTGAGAACAGATTTATACCAGAATATTGACTGTGGGCCAGAGTTGCTGAAATACAAACTTGCATCCTAGTCTTCTTACTATTTGCAAAATGAAGCGGTACTGCCTTTAATGTCCCACTGTTAATAAGTGATCACAAGTTAGGGTGAGCACGATTTAAGTGTTTTGTTCTGTCGCTCCTAGGCAAGTTGTTTGTGGAATATAAAAGCCAGGAGAGAGAGAGTTAATTTTGTGTCTAACTCAAATGAGTTTTCTTTCTTAAGTTTAAGGACAGGACTCAGAAAAATATGCTGTTCAATTCCTCAGTCATTATACCAGAAGCCTGTTCTGCATTTGGAAAGTTAACTTTGAACTCAACACATTTTGGCATTCTTTTCTAAAGTAACAATTTAGTCCTGATTTTTTTGCTAGGGAGAGGTTCATTGGTTTGAGTAATAATAGACTTTGTGAAAAACACTGGAAAAGCAGAAATGTCACACCACAGTGCAAACAACTTGAAAACCTCTGTAGCCATCAGTCAGTCTTAGAGATCCAGATGTGTACAGTGTTTTATAAGGACACTCTACCTCTTTGTACAGGGTCTTTTGCCACATTTTTCACCATGTGTTCCAACTGTCTTCTGAGTGTGTTTTAAGGAACACAAATGAATTTGGCCATCTGCTGTGACTTGTTTCATCTCTCCCATAAATTTAGTTTCTGCCTTTTGCTCTGCTAGGGTTGTGTTATGTTATTCTTTTCTCCTTTGAAGTGTGTATATGTTTATTTTTGCTTTTCTCTGAATAGAGGAGATTTTCATTAGTATGACCAGACACCCTTGTGAAGGAAGGATCGCTCCTGTCATTGCCATAGCTAAGATAGTTGCAGTTATGTTAGGCTGTTAGCACAATTAAAGTCACAGAACCTCGGCCTGCTGGAAAGTCTCCTGAAAGGCAATTTGTGTAGAGGGAATGTAGGGCTTACAGCCTGCTTGATTCTCATCAACAGTGCTGAAACAATTAAAATTCCTTTTCCTGAGCCTGCTTTACACTTTCCACTTTGCTTTCATTCAGCGACAAATGGGAAGCATGCATCTGTCAGTAGATTTGCAGGACTAAACCACATCACTTTCTCTTCTGTATATTGTTTGAGAAAGTTATCTTTGCTGCCAAAATAATTGCAATTTTTTTTTTCCTTTCCAAAACAAAACCGAGCTTCTACAGGAGCTGGCAGAGAGGCCCTTTGCCCATTCCAAGCAAAGCTCCTTACTGCCTCCCAGGAACTCTTGAGTCCAAGTCTGTAACAGCAAATCTTCTTGGATTCTACTACAATAAATGAAGCTTTCTTAGTTCCTAACTGATGACATTATGTTGACCAAAAAAACCCCAAACTCTTGATTTATGTACATACATCCTAACATTGATCTCTGTGTGATGGCTTAGTTTAGGCAGAGATCTGCCTGTAATGATAAAAACCTTTTAATATTAGTACACACCACAGCTAACAAGGGGTCTACTGCAACAGATTTATTAGCACAGGTGTTCCTAGTGTAGCCAAGGTTTTTGTGGCCAGACACAGTGGCCACAACTATCCCAATGGAAGGAAGAAGAAAAACAAGTTGTCATTTTTTTCCTATCAAAGCTATTCAAGGAGACTATTACTATGTCAGAGTTTCCCAATAAAGGTTATTTAACTAGAACTTCCCTTGTTCAAGTATTTCTTTGGTTCCAGGCTAAAAAATTAGCAGAGGCAGGATAGACTAAATAAAAAGAAAGAAGAAACACCATTATCAGAAAGACAGGCATGCAGGGGAAAGGGAGGTAAGGATAGTAAATCTTAAGGCAGTCAGAATTTCATAATTTAAAACTGAAAATTTATCTTAGAGGAATTTTTTTTATGTCTTCTGTGCAGAAGATAATACATGTGCTTTTGCCAGCACAGTGAAACTAATAATATATGACACAGGACAATTGCATGCTGTAACTCTGTCCTTTAGAAACCCATGTTTATTGTTGCATTGCTTTTTATTGCCAAAGTCACTTCTTACAGAGTCAGGGGGTGCTGTAATAAATCCAGCTATCACCTTGTGGTTTCTCCTGCCAAGCAATTTTTCTGTTTATTACAGCTATTTGTGTACAGTTCGTCCATATTAGCCAGAAACTTCCAGTGGTCTCCGGAAGCCCTGCATTACCTCCCTGCTCATCCAAACCCATTTGCTTTGAAAAAGTAATTAAGTTAAAGTTTCTCACTTCCCCCCTTCAAACTATAGTATTGATTGTTTAACTGTAGTAGTACATGTGCTAGTAGCTATAGACATTGTCTTCTCCTTTTTTTTCCCCTCTTAGATTTATTTGATATCCTTCTCTCAGGCTAAAAATAGTGAAACAGGGCTGAATATTTTATTTCCTCATCTCATAAAAAGAGATGGATGGCACCATCTGTTTCTCATTACCAATAAGCAACGGCTGTGCAGTGTTGGGATAGGAGGATTGCAGAGCAATGGGTGGATGCTTCTCTGTTCTCTCAGTCCAGTTTGCCCACCATACATCACTGCCAGCCTGGTAACAAGAGAGCAAACAACCAGTTGGCAAATTGTATCCCGTTTAAACATTGATGGAGTGAAGGCACCCTGGTGTGTTTTAAGTGCTGTATTAGTGGTCTTTATTTTACAGCATAAAGATTGCATATATAAACAGAAGCTCATCCATAATTTATAGTATATAAAACAGCTAGGGATATAGGGAAAAGGAGGATTTCATTAAATACACATTATGATGCTCCTCGGGGGAAGCAGAAATATATTGGTTAAGCTAATTTTAAGGTCCCTAGTGTACTGCAAGTTGTTTATTTTTTTTTTCCTTTTTTTTTTCTTTTTCTCCATTTGATTTGTTTTAAAGTAAAGGAAGGTTACACAAGCTTGAGGTTTAGCACTGCTTTGGAAATCCCTGGAGGTTTTGCAGGTGCTCTGTACCTTTTTAGTTTTGTCTCAATCAAAAGTGCTTGAAGGAAACCTTTTTGAGGAGGAATCCTATTTAGCAGTCATGCAGCAAAGTGGGAGAGTGATTTCAGATGAGTGAGGTGTAGCACTGTAGATACCAGTTGACATCACTTCCTACCTGTCAATGACTTCATCAGGAGCATCATATTTATGTCTAATAAATAAATGTGTCATGTCAGAGGAAGATGGCACTTTTAACTTCTATACAGGAGCTGGCAGCAAAATGTTGCATGGCATGTATTGCTGGGACCTACTTCCAGTGAGACAGGTGTGCATTCATCCAGAGGCCCATCAGCTGGATCCCAATGGGTTATTTACTGTATTGTTTCCTTTGAAAGAAGCCAACTGCACCATCATCTTCTTTGCACAAAATGGGAAAGAACAGTGCATTTTGAGATGGAAGAGCACTTGGTGCTCTAAAAATAATGTGTCTTTTTCATTACTATTTGTTATTTGAAGGTCCAACTTTCTCTAAATACTTTCCAGGCTACAGATAATACTGGCATCTGCTGACTCCACAGGTGACACTGTAACACTGTAATCTCACTGCAAAACCAATGTGGATTTCAGATTAGGATGGCTCTGTCCATGGTAATCTGGTTTATTGCCCTCCTTCCAATGCTGCAGAGCAATAGGATACAACTCAACTGAGATTTTGACTCAGCAACTAGTGCCAGATTTTAAGGCTCAGGTCGCTGAATAATCAGTGCAAGGCAAACATGACAGCATTGTCCCTTTAAAGTTGTTTGTGTAGCTTGAGTTTGTAATTCTTCTTGAGATGTATCTCTAGCATAAGATTACTGATTTTTGGTTTCGCAGTACTATCCATGCACTTGACAAACTTCCAAAATGGTTTTGGATGCTAAGTACATGATCGAGTCCAGGCGGGCCTACATTCAGCTACATTTGCCATCAGCCAACCAAGATAGGTTTTAAGGCATGAAAGGGAATGTTATCTTCCAAATAATTAAGCTCGTATGTTGTACTTTCAGCTTTACTTTGTTTCAAAGATGCTATTGTAATACACTCCTGAGTTTTGCAGAATTTTCAGGTCTTACTTGAAACCTGTTTTAAGGATGCTCAGAGCTAGGCTGCCTGACAAACCTTACTTTATTTTTAGGGTAAGTCAGGGTGTATATTGCTAGAGGAAGAAGTAAATTAACACAGAACACTTAAGGCTTCCTCTGGTGTTTGA